TATGACCCAGGAAATAACGCTGGCCTTTGTCAGCGAGCATCATTACTGACCCTCGATCAAATCAGTGCATGTGCAGTCATCTGACTACAGAAACAGAAAGCTATCAACAACACTGTCAGACAGACAGACAAAAGCTTTCCCCTGCTGAAACCAAGAGGAATATGTCATTGTCTAGAGGGCAGTAATGCATCATTCTATTGTTTGCCATTAAACCAAAAGTTTTCACTATCAGTGTTCCTCACATATTTTCCAAAGGTTCAGTTTCTAAACTATTGTTTCATCCTTTCTCCCCATCACAATGAGAAAAAACGACAAGGTGAAAACATGGCAAGGGTCACACCTTGGTGTGACTAACAACTGACTTCCATGTTTACAGCTGAATGCTATCAGCGCTCCATTGAACTACATAATGCTTAAGCTATCATCCTGTCTCATGCCTGACTCATTCAGCACATTCTCTGTAGCGGCTTCACCCCGCCAAAAAATAACAACAATGTTCCACTAAATAACAGTGTGCTCAGACATAAATCCAACCTTACAGTGATAAGTGAGTGTGTGAGAAACAGAACACGATGCCAGGAGCTAAAGAGCGGGAGAGGAGGTGGGAGTGAGGTTGGAAGAGCACCAGTTACTAACCCGGGGGCCAGGTGCCTCGTGGCGGGTGGGCATGAAGGTAGATAGAGAGATGAGGCAGAGAGAAGGGAGAATAAATGTGAAGCTACAAGGAAGTCAAGAAAGATTATCAGTGATGAAGTTAGCAGTGAAGAAGGGTAAATCAGTGAGAGGAGTTCAGACAGGGCGCGATGTGTAAGAGGTTTAAAGGTGTGAGGGTGAGAACTCAGAGGACAAAATAAGGACACAGAGGGGAGTAGGAGAACGGTGAGATTTTGAACTTCCAGTGTATGAGTGTAAACAGCTGGGGATCTGTTCATTTTAGGGTTAGAGTTTAAGCTACCTCCATGGGTCTTGGGTGTATTTCCAGCAGCACAAATGCTACTGAATGATGAATGATGAATATTAAAGGAATATACTGGTAGCACTCTGTCTCTATGATCTTTCCACTCATCCACGGCTACACGTTGCCACTTGTCACTTTGACCACGAAGGTGACACTGCTCTATAATATAGACTTGAGTATTTATATAATTTGGAGAACATATCCAAGACAAAACTGAGAAGAAGGGATGAGAGAAAAAGGCAAATCCGTCTGCTACTTCAGCACCACGGACAGCGCCATGGAGTGCGTGAAAACTTAGTAAGTGAGCAGAGGTAGCTAAAAGTAATGGATAAATGGTCTAAATAGCTGACCGTAACAGATAAATGGTTGAAATAGCAAAGCATAATGGAAAATGGTTTAAAAGATTAGCTAAAAATAGATAAAAGGGTTTTAAAATATCTATCTTGTGCCTCAACTCTTATCACAGTCACTTTTGCACTATTTAATATTCTATTTGCACTCAGTACTGTACAGTTTCACATGCATATCGAGATGAACTGGTCGAGACAGACGACCACCCACCTAGAGCCGAAGGATCTGTCCTAGGTTTCTGCCTTTTAACAGGCAGTTGTTTTTTTTGTCGCCAAGTGCTTGCTCATGGTGGTACTGTTGGGTCTCTGTAATGTTTTAAAGAGTTCGGTCTAGACCTGCTCTATTTGAAAAGTGTCCTGAGATAACTTCTGTTATGAATTGGCGCTATACAAATAAAATTGAATTGAATTGAATTGAATATATATTTCCTACATTCACATTATTAGTATTAGACCTGTATTGTATATTCATAGCCCCTTCTAGCCTATATTTATCCTGCTAAATTACTGCGGTGTATATATCTGGTCCTGTGCAATTATTTATTTTTACAGCATGCCACTACCTCCTACTGTAACCTGTGCAATATCTATATATATATCACATCTTTATAAAAGCTGTACATACAACTCTAATTCTATTCTTTCTATTTTCATTATATCTTGTATTTTTCCTATTTTATATTGTTATTTAATGTGTATTTCTTTTTTCTTATCTGCTGTCTTGTATCTGGAGCTGCTGTAATGTGTGAATTTCCCCAGTGTGGGATCAGTAAAGTCTAGCTTATCTCATTTTATCTTATCTCAAGTAGTACAAATGCAAAGTTAAACAAACCAAAACACTATGAAAAGAAATATTCCAATAATATCCACATTTATATAGTCAATAGTGTTAAATAACATCCAGTTTAAAATCAATGAACACATATGGAACATGATTGGTGGTGCTGAGGAAGTACTTGAGTTCGTCAAAAAAGGGTTGGAAACCAGTGTACTAGGGGATGGAAAGGAGGATGGCAGGTTAACAAGAGGGAGGCATTTTGGTCATTTTGCTAACAAGGGGGGGTAGCATCCCCTCCCTAACCCCCCCCCCTCAAAATCGCCTACTGAGAGTGACGATGTCAAAGAGTAATCCTTCCTGCAGGAACAGGAGGAGGTTGAGCACCATTCATTTAAAGTGTATTTGTGCCATGCAGTTCCTCTGCCTCTCCTGGCAAGCTCGCATCCAGCTATGCTACAGTCCAGTCTCTTTCCGCCAAAACCGCTTTGTGAATTAAAAGCTCCTGGCAATCGTATCGCTGGAGTTTGTTTTCAGCTATTTGGAATGGCATCTTTGCAGGCCTGTTCTCCCAATGAGGAATAATAATCTGCAATTATGCGTATAATGTGTACGCGTTCACAGGTGAGTGTGCAGAATACTACATAAAGTTGTAAAACAAATGAATAAATGTTTATCCTTGATATTATATTTCAAGCTCTGTGACAGTGTGGTCTCTCACCGTCTACAAACACACAGTAGGGATTTGTGGGCATGCTCAATAGGTCAGGTTGCAGGAAAGGTAAATTAGGCGGAGAGAAAATGGGCTTTCTGCATACTCTGGGTGGCTTAGACAGAAAGGTTAATGGCTTTATGAGATTGCAATGACATATTACTGCAAACACCTCAGAGCAAACAAATGATTGCATTGTACTATAGCAGAATGTGGCTGTTGTTGCAGCCCATTGTTAATGGAATATTAAATCTGCATGCATGTGTATATGTGTGATAGCAGCGTACAGCTAAATGGACAATGTACATTTATGTATGTGACAATGAATGCCTTTATGTGCATGTGTGTATGCTTATGGAAGTCCTAAGACATTAATTTCCCCTGTGGGTGTTCTGTTCCGACTGTTTGAGAACTGTCGAGCCGAGAGATGGAAAAGGAGAGCCTATCTGCAGGGGCCCAGGACCCTGGGGCCACATCAAAGGGCCTTTTGACTGGTCACTTAAGCGTAGAACTGGGCTAATCAAACATGGCCCACTATAATGGTGTTTTGGAGGCATAAGAACGTACATAAACACTGCAGAGGAATTCTCCACAGACCGGCAGCTCCCCCTGGGGCTCCACAGTGGCAAAACTGACCTCTAACACAACATATATCACGGCTGGGAGTGTCTGTGTGCAGGGAGGGACAGTGTGTGTTCTTCCTGTGTTAAGGGAGAGCAAAAGGGACTGTGATACATGTGTTCGCTATCATGTATCAGTGTAGTCCATCAATGACAAGGAGTTGTGTGAAACAGGCAGTGAGGAACGTGTGTGTGTGTGTGTGTGTGTGTGTGTGTGAGTGTGAGTGTGTGCACACGTGTGAATGTCTTGGTGTGGGCTCAGCTGTCAGGTCTCCCTGGTGGGCCATTAATGCTGATGCTTGGCTAGAGTCTATCAAGTGCAGGACATCAACATCACCCCTATACATGAAGAGACACACACACACACACACACACACACATAGGCCCTCTACTACCTCCTCACCTGATGGGATATCACTGGGGGAATGTACATCCACCACCAAAGACAATCTGTCTTGATAGCCAAGACTGTAGCCCCATGGCGATCCCCCTCTTCCTCTCTCGCTGCCTCATCTGTGTCCCTCAGGTAGTTGGATGTGTCCGAAGGTAAAAGGTACGACCAGCTGACTGGATGTTTTGGCTGATTGACGGCTGGTCTCCCCACATGAGTGGAGAAGCAGCCTGTTTCCCTGCCTGGGGTTTATACGAGGAGCCGAATGAAAACTGGCACATGGATGTTAAGCAGTAAATCTTCTCTACAATGAGATCTGGATGCTGCCTGAGAGCCCATGGGCGTCATTTGGATATGACTTGGGGTGGCACTCATTATACTTTAACTTAAGTGACTGCACGTAGAAGCATGAAAACAAGCAAATATGGAGCATGTTTTTTTTTTGGGAGAGACTTTTATCCTCTGAGCTGGGAATTCCTGGCTGGCCCACCAACTGTGGATACATGGCTGTGCAGTGGGAGAGTGACTGAGGCAGATGTTTGGCTGTGTTATGACCCTGGTAATAAGACAGACATGTGCCTGTCCTGCATCCAGAGGAGCAGGTGCTGCCACCGCACAGCCATTACCATCTGCACTGATGAGATCAGGGACTGGGCCATGCTGGATGTTAGATGGTTATTATCCCTTAAAGTAAAGCATAAAATAAATAAATGTGCAAGCTGGTGAAGCCAGCAACCCACCCTGAAAAAATCTGTGTGATATTCCAAAAGGGACTTGTAGTGATGATTAGTGAGTGCATAGCCTAATGTTATTGTAGCCTATCATTTTTATCTTCTGTGGTATCACTATAAAATTCATTTAATACCCGATTTGGCACTCAAAATACTGCTGTGATATTTATCCCTCAATGATTAACACGGTTAGCCTCCTATAGGGATTATCCAGGCAGAAATAGAGAGTTACATGTCCTCTGTGTGGAAAGTTTAAACTATAGGCTATAGGATGGATGGAGAGACGGAGGGGAGCGACTGAGGTTGGGAGGGATGCTTGAGGTGTTCGGGTGAACGGTGAAGGGATAGTGCAAAAGGAAAGATGCAGGGTGGAGGGAAGGAAGAGGGGAGGAGGGGAGGAAAAAAATGGGCTAGTATCCCTTTAAGGTCCTCTGACGTCATGCTGATGCAGATCTGCCCGGCTGGATGCGAGCGGAGGAGAGGAGGAGAGAGGGATGCCGAAAAAATGAAACTCCTCAGCACTAATTTTTCACATCCCTCTGCAGGAGAAGATACAGACCAGCCGTACCACAACCTCTATACAAAGGAGCGGACTAATACCTCTTTCCGCCGCTGAGTGAACGTGAGTATGCTGTCATCGCGACAGAAACTGCGGTAAACGCGACACATTTTTTAGTATAAAAGCGACCATATTGAGGTCAGAAGAAAGCGTTGCCAAGGCGACCAGCTTGCTAGGGAGGACACTGCGGCGCGCGTCACACGCCGGGAACGAGCGTGCGTGCCTGCGAGGCTGCGCACGTGCGCGCGTGTGCGACAGCTAGCCGAGGCGGTCACGGCGTCCACACAGCAGCAGCGGCGGTACGGAGGCAGCATCTTCTCACAAGACTACCGGGACGCAGTCTCTGTCCGCCGTTACCGAGACGAGTAAAAGCGAGCAGAGGCTTGCACCGTGACTTGAACCGGCCCCTTGGCGGTGTCGGAGTTCTCCTCGACGGGATTTATTGAGGATTTATCGACGACATCCCAGAAAAAAACGCTCAAAAAACTGAGTAGCTGCGACCATTGGTCAACACAGGTGACACTTGCCGGGTTGTCAAATCCAGCGAGACCCCGCAGACACGTCCGGGTTATTTGGGGGTTGTTTGTTGTATTAAGGCGTCGATAAAAACGGACATTCTTCCTGAGGCACACCGGACTGTTAGCTGAGAAATTAATTAATATATATTGCCGTGCTGGAGAAGACTGGCACCGAGCTGAGCCGAGCCTGGCCGCTCGGATGGGGAACCATGCTATATCCTGCTGTATGTGGTGTGTAATGCAGTAGAACAGCTTTATTTTTTTTGGTATTCAGTCTCCGCTGTCGGTGTCTCCAGTCATGAAGTCCCACCTGCCGGCCCGGTTGGATTGAACGAGGTAGTGCTGTCTTGAGGGGAGGGGGGAAGGCATTTTTGAAGGTGTTGGGTTTTTTTTTTTTTGTTTTGTTTTTTTTATTTTGTTGTTGTTTTTTTTGTTTTTTTAGACACGAGCACTTTTTGCTCGCTTTACGTTTACCTGGAGGAAGATTTAGTGAAGAGGACGAGGAGGAGAAGGACGAAATCTCAGGCAAAACCTCAGCGGGAATCTGGCACCCCACCAGCACCAGTGGATCACACACTAACAGGTAGGCTGAGGTTTACATGGTGTCCTATGTTTAAAAACCCGAGTTACACTGTAAAATGTCTTCCAAATGATTATATCTGCAAATTTGCACTCAATTTGCATTTTTAATTGTGTGTGTGTGTGTGTGTGTGTGTGTGTGTGTGTGTGTGTGCGCGTGCGCTCCAGGGTTGTCTTTGACACCTAAAGTGAAAAATAAATGTTCAGAGATGAGCATCAAAATCAAGCAAACTGGGGCAAAAATGAGTGATTTCCCCTTTCATTTCTTGTTTTGAATGATCTGTTTTCCTTATGCAATTTCAAACATTAATGGACGCCTGTTGTCAGATGCATTTGTCCAAAACATGTCTGAAATGAATGACCTCTTGTACTTGAGCAGTGTTTTGGCCCATCTGTTGGGTTTGTTTAGTGTATTGTATGTAAAGTGTGTTTGCTGTGCGGCGTGGTCAGACCTGTTGAGAATAAGGGGGGCTTCATGCAGATGAGCTGGTGCTCCTTCATTACAGAGGAGATGAATCCTCTGTACCATTAATGAGGACTTGCACTCCGAGCTCTTCTGGTGGAACGAGAGAAACAGAGGCTGCTATTCAGTCAGTCTGAGCTCATTTCTCTGTCCTCCTAACATGCAGAATTTGTAGCTTATTAATCAAAGTGCTTTGCCGATCATCAACGCTGGATCAGTCCTTGCACATGTGGCTGTCATTGTGCATTTCTTTAATTGTGTAGTGTCTGGAATAAGAGGGAAAGGAATAGGAGTGGAGGGGGAATTTTGCCTGCAGACAGATGATTGAAATGATGTGCACACACTCACAAAAGTCCCCCTTCAACAGTTGAATCATCCTTCAACTTAGTATGAGCACATTTTCCTGGGTCTTTATACTCAAAAGACCCAGGAAACGCCATGACCATGAGAACATATTCTCCCTAAATTCTCCCCTCCGCACACACACAAATAGATGCACACACACAGCATGAAGAATGGGGTGCATTTATATGCTGTGGCTGGTGTTGTGGGGCATTCGAATCGGCAGGGCCTGCTAGATGATAGAATTCAGCAGGGACAAGAAGACCTCTGTTCTTATCTGTGGCGACGAGAAGAAGAAGGCAGCTCTGCTCTGCTCGGCTCGGCTCGGCTTCTTTCCTTGGTTTAGGCAGCTAGCCTGGCCATATAGCAGATAGGGACATCTCCTCTGTGGGTAGAAGGTATTTTAATGGAGGCGGGGGGGGGGACAACAAATAGATGTTGTCACAGAGGAGTTGTTATTTATCTTGATGGCCGCTGGCTGGAAACTTTGAAGACCTGTGGAGATGTTTAAGGGGGATAAAGGTGGCACGCCAACGCAGTGTGTGGAGTGAATGCAAGCATTTGTGTGTGAGAGAGGAATATGTACACACAGAATGGGAGAAAAAATAGAAAGGGGGGCATCATCATGGAGTATTTCTGCAGCAATGCAATACGGTGTATTCACCTGGGATCAGTGGCTGATTTACAACAATCTAAAAAAAAAAACACAGGATGGGTAGCTTTGAAAAGGCCCGTACACACACTACCTTTTGCATGCAAGAATGTTTTGTATCTCTGTGTGTGTCCCAACCAAATGCAATGCAAGGCCCCCGAAGACATTGCTCAGTGCCATCCATCTCCAGCAAAGGTGCAGCAAAGCTGGAGGCAGATGGAGCTGAAAGCGTTCAAAGCGTGTTGTCGGGTAGATTGATGGCTCCCAGCGCGGGTCGCTAAGCAGTCAACAGATGCAGGCTGGTGTTGTGACAGGGTGGGTTGAAATAGCCATCACAATCACGCACAATCACACTAACACAGTGCTTAAAATGCCTACCTGTCCGTTCACTGCAGCTAATTTTAGCCCTTACTATTTATTTTTACCGTAGATGAATCAGTGACAGCAGCTCCCCCAGTGTGTTAGGATGTTTTCTGACTGTGGAGATGACAGCAGTTGCTGCTAATTTTAGGTGAGAGATGTCATCTGTATAAAAAATCTTCAGCAATATGGCAGCTGACGTGTTGACTGGAGAGCTGGAGACTCGTCAGATGAGCGCTGGTAAAATTAAATGTTTGTTTAGCAAAGTTGAAATGAATTAGTAAAGCCAAGGCTGGCTGAATACACGAGTCCTGAGGGAGGCGCTGTTGTTTATATCGGCCTTTTGTTACGAGAAGCTGAGGAAGGAAACAATGTGTCAGTTATTGCTTTGAAGGTGCAGAAATGTATTTTCAGGGCTGCTGGCATGGTTTTGTTTCCCCAGGAGTGAGACTTTGTCTTCCACTTGTCAGCTAACTTTAAGGGTTCAGACAGTACAGTTAGTGGTTGTATAATTGATGGAATATTGAATAATTGTAGTGACCTGTTTGCACATTTGAAGGATCTGTTTAGAAAGGTAACAAAGAGCAGACAGACACACTTAATGAACACCTTATTTAAGGAAGTAACGCAGAAATATGTCTCACTGGGACTACTTGAGCTATGAGCGGATGCTCAGTATTTCAGCATATTCTATAACGTGTAGTACCTGTTGCCATGATGACGTCTGTGTTACTACTAATACTAAACTCCCTCACCAAAACCTGTTTTTCTCTGCTTCTCTCAGCTTCTCTAGGAGAAAATAAAGCTGATTAAATGGAATAACTCTTAAATGGAGGCTCTTTTGTATATAACAAGGCTTGGTAATTGACAACAAGCTGGTTACAATGGGGAATATGCCTCTCCTCCTCCCTTGAGCACCGCTCTCCCCATGTAATCACCCCGTCTTTTACATGTGTTTGTTCACATGTGTAGGCTACAGCTCTCTGCCCATTAAATCAATAATGTATATATATTTTTTTTTCGGGGCGCCCGGTTAGCTCAGTTGGTAGAGCTGGCGACCCATGTACCGAGGCTGAGTCCTTGCTGCAGTGGCCCAGGGTTCAAGTCCGACCTGCGGCCCTTTGCTGCGTGTCATCCTCTCTCTCTGCCCCCCTTTCCTGTCCACCTTCGGCTGTCTCTATCAATTAAAGGCAATAAAAGCCCCCCCAAAAATATACTTTAAATCAATTATATTTTGGGACTTCTCCGCCAGTGAAAGTATGCTTTTGTAAGACCATATATCCTCCTTTTATTGTCTTTATTCCTCATTCGTGTATTCATTTGTTTTTCTTCTCCATCCATTTGTGCCCGACTCATTCATTTGGTTCAAAGGGAGCCGGTCTGTCTTTTTTGCAAGGAGTGTGTGTCGTTGCTATGGCAGCATCTTTTTGGAAGGATTTGCCCCACAAAGATTTCAAACCTGAAGCTTTTATTTAGTCTTCACCGGTTTGTATGTGTGCTCCAGCATGTGTCCGTGTATATTAAGGCCACAAAATTAATCAAAAAACAACTGACATCACAATATCGACTGCAGCAATGTCCAAATTGCCGGAGGCTGCATTTTTTTCTTCATGATCAAGCCCAGTAAACAATGTTCACTGGTGCTGTGCAGAATCCCGACATGAAATCGTTATGACCAAATATTTTATTGCGTTAAAAATGAGCAAACGTAAGCATTAGCATGTCTTATTTACTCTATATTCTGTATATTTACATTTTTTGCAAAAGTTGGATGTCCTTATTTTTGTAACGTTATGCTGTACCTGCATATGTGCTGGTGAATGCTATTGATCTGGCAATTTTCCTTTAGGGTTATTGAAAGACTATTGAAAAAAAGTAAAAGATTATATTTGTTGAGGATTGTTCCCTGACACAAGTACCTCCATCCTCCCTGTTCAGCCTGTCAGTGTGTCTGCTTTGTTGCGATTCTCTTAGAGTGCTGGTCTCCCACAGTCCCTCCACACTCCTCCTTTGTCTGAGCCTGTTGAATGAGATCTTGCTCTCTGGGGTGCAAGATGGAGACGAAGGGTTAGAACCATTACTCGTCTCAGCTCCATTCTTCTCCCTCTTCCTCTCTGCCTCAGTCTTCCTCTTTTTCTCTATTTTGCAACATATTTTCTCGTGTCTCTTCCTCAGTTTGTCTTCAAACCCCCATGGCGTCCGTCAACCTGAGGCGAACGGCGCTGTACTGTCCCCAGTGGGCTCATTAAGGTTACATCAAGGTCGAACCCTCTCTGACACATTTTGATTGAATAAAGCTGATGTTCGCTTCCCGAGTCTCCAGCCAACAGCTGCAGCAACCTTCACATCACCACCCCTCCCATCTCCTGCTAGAACCAGGCTGACCACCGGCCAAGATCAATGAACATTTACTCTTCTTTTCTTCAAAGAGATAAAAGCAAAAGGAAGTCATGGAGACAGTGAGAAAACCACCCAGAACACCCATCGGCCAGCTCCGGACTTCTAGCTCTCCTCTCAAGTCTGTCAGTGCAGGAGGTCGGATACAGCTCCACATTCCCGCTGACAATAGAAAACCTGCAAAGATTAAAACTCCTGTTGAGTGATTTTTCAACAAATAATTCCATTCATAATAGAGGTGCAAGGCTACAATGGGATTTCATGCTTCCGTGTTGCAGAGTCGGGTCCTGAATAGAAAGCATGGTACAGATTTGATGGAATCAACAGCACTGGAGTCAGCAACAGCCGGGATTAAATACATCCCGCTTTCTGGCCAATCAGATTGACTGACAGTCGGAATCCATGCCGCTCTGAGCAGTGCAGCTCATCCCTCTGGCAAACTGAGTGACTTCCCTGTATTTCTCTGGTGTGTCCATGGGAGTTCTACCTGCGTGCTTTGTTTTTGTCCTTAATACCCCTCTGCAATCCAGTCCAGGGATTTTGTACACAAATCTCACTGCAACATAACTTTGGAGATTAATTTGTTTATGACATTTTTTTTTTGTACCACTGTGTTATTTGGTCCTGTGCTGCAGTGCATCTTTGTCTCACAAACACACACAGCGTGTTACATATTGCCATCGATGGGAAGACGGAGAACCTGAGCGAGTTATGGTATCGACAGCATCTCAAGGTCAGGAATAGCCACATCCTCGCGAGTACTCCACAGTAAACCCTCAGCATCGCAAAC